CACCGCAGCGGGACAACGCCGATACCGTTCGCCCCGAAACATTGCCGGTCTCTATCGAGAGTGTTGTTGGTCGCCCGATCTGGGCAAATCTCACCGTCACCAGACACGCCCCCGTCATTGTTGAGCAGGAGCTTTCCCTGTCGGAGTCCCTCTGCGAGGCTCGTGAAGCCACACCTGAGGACGGCGACGTGGGGCGGGGGGTGCATATATATTGCCTATCTCTACCGTTTCCCCCTCATTTCGTGGAGATACGCGCTGAGGGTCGGGGGCCTCAACCGCAGACTATGTCCACAGCAATAATGATTTCTAGATTTGTTGCAATATACAGCAGCGCCCAAACAATGTGGAAACCGATTAGTTCGTGTGTGCGCAAACCCCTACTTCACGGTCGACGAGGGGAAGAAACGACTGAACATCATGACGTCTCCGTAAAAGGCCGTCGCTTCAAGCACCACATCGAACGGTGAAAGACGGAGAAATGTACACATTGTTTTTTCGGCGGCGGCGGCACTTTTGTCGAGTCTCGCGGAAAAACGAATCACTTCAGTGGTAGATAGTGGTGCGCACATGTCGAGCATGACGACGGCGCATCCGTGGAAGTCTTCTCTTGTCGGCCGCATGACCGAAGCTTCCTCTCTCGTCAAGCGGCTGAGCTTGCGAAGAACGATGGTCGGTAAAAAGCTGCAGAGCGTCTGAAGCTTGTTCGCCTTGGCCTGGGATTGACGGGTGCACTCCTCAGTTTCAGTCGTATTTGTAGGTGGATTCTCAGTCGGGCAGCCAGCAGGATGGAATCGCACCACTTCTGTGACAAAGGTTTCGTATACAAATGCACTAAACCGAGGCTGCCTTCTGTGCCAATGGAAAAGATCTTTGGCATAGTGGCTGCTGTACAGACTGTTGGGGGTGTTTGGCCCTCGTGAAAGGTTGCACAAAAAATTCGCCATCCACGCCGGCCGGATGGCATCACCTCGTGCCGGGCTGTGCGGCCTTTCTGCAGCTTTCCGTCGCCACGTCGCCACATCGGCTGGCGAGTACTTAAGCAAGATAGACACAAATGCTTTATCAGCGAAGCGGAGAGAATGGTGCTATCGCCGCTTCGAAACACGTCTGTAACATTCGCGCCGTGAACAAGGTAGTAAAAACGTCTCGCAGACACATCTACCCAACACAGAAATTGCGGCCAGTACAGGGTAGGGGATCTCGCCAGCACGCACCAGCGCAACCAGTGGTGAAGGCGAAGGTGTGCGTGGGCGGCATGTCGCCGGTGGGACTCCGAAAAACTAGACACACAGTCTAACAATCGTTAAAAAGGCCCTGAAACAAATTACGTGTGTAAGCAACAGATGAACCGTTTGTTGCGCCTCTACAGCATGTTGCAAAGGTAAAAACTCTGGTAACAATGGAGACTGAAACGAGAAACGCGCGGCACGCTACGAGGGCACCAGAACAAGAAGTCAGATTCCAACAAGGGAGCAAGCAGGCACGCTTGTTGTTACACTTCTGGTTTATCCTGGTACATTAGATCTGCTCGGTGCTCACAAGGGGAGTGTACTCATAGTCGTGCATGCCGTAGTCGTTAGACCATTGACCTCGCATCCCTACAAAGCCGGGACGGAGCACGCCGGGTT